TGCTGCTGCTGTCTCCTTTTGTTGCTGCTGCTGTCTCCTTTTGTTGCTGCTGCTGTCTCCTTTTGTTGCTGCTGCCGTCTCCTTTTGCTGTTGCTGCTGTCTCCTTTTGCTGTCTCCTTTTAAACAAAATGACGCAGCAAGAGGAGACAGACAAAGAAGAAAGAGAACAAACAAAACAACGAAAGAAAGCTGTAGAAACGAATGAAAAGAAAATAAAAACTACTTAGGGAGATAAAGACAAAACAACTGTCTCCTTTTGGTGTCTCCTTTCAGTATGCCTCATCTCTTATTATCCTGCTGGAAACCCTAAACCCTAAACCCTAGACAAACCCTAAACCCTCGACAATCGCTAAACCCTACTCTATTGTTTATAAGGAGACAGTTGCTTATAGGGAGACACTCTTGTTTATAAGGAGACACCACATTATAATAGGAGACACCACATTATAATAGGAGACACCTAAATAAAAGGAGACAACTGAATAAAAGGAGACACCTGAATAAAAGGGGACACCCGATTATGATAGGAGACACCTCATTATAATAGGAGACACCCTATGGAAAGGACACACCTTATTACCATAGGAGACATCTGTTTAGAAGGAGACACCCAAATGAAAGGAGACACCTGAATAAAAGGAGACAGCTCATTATAATAGGAGACACCTGTTTAGAAGGAGACACCTGAATAAGAGGAGACATCTGTTTAGAGAGAGATGCCTGAATAAAAGGAGACACCAGTAGACACTAATAAAGAAGGAGACACCTGAATAAAAGGAGACATTAGTAAAAGAGGAGACACCTGTATAAAAGGAGACACCTCATTATAATAGGAGACACCGTCTTATAGGAAACGCCTGTATAAAAGGAGACACCTTTTCATAGGAGACACCCAAATAAGAGGAGACAGCTGCATAGAAGGAGACATCTGTGTATAGGGAGATAGCTGAATAAAAGGAGACACTAATAAGAGTGGAGACACATGTACAAAAGGAGACACCTCATTGTAATAGGAGACACTAGTAAAAGAAGAGACACCTGAATAAAACGAGACACCTCATTATAGTGGGAGACACAGATAAAAGAGGAGACACTTCTCCCTGGCGGGCTCTTTGACTGTAGCTGTCCCTAAACGACCCCCAGACTTGTCTCCTTTCTGTATTGGCTAGCCACCAGCAGCTAGCTACGCTAGCTAGGCACCAGCAGCTAGCTACGCTAGCTAGGCAACAACAGCTACCTACTCTAGCTAGCCAAGCCTAGCTAGCTACGCAAGAGAGCTGGGCTCAGCTAGCTACGATACGATAGCTGCTGGTGGATAGCTAGCTTCGCTAGCTAGCTACGTAGGGCAAGCTAAGTACGCTGGCTAGCTCGGCCCAGCTAGCTACGCTAGCTAGCTAGGCTCAGCTAGCTACGCTAGCTAGCTAGGCTCAGCTAGCGATGCCTCCGTAACGCAAGCTGCGGGCACACGACAGCTAGCTGAGCACAGCTAGCAGCAGCTAGCCGAGGGTTTAGGGTTTAGGGTGCCTATCTCTCAACAGCAGTAAACCCTAATAGATTAGGGTTTAGGGTTTTAGGGTTTATGGTTTTAGGGTTTAGAGGTTCATTAATAATAGGGAGGGGCCCCTACCGGAGCCACGAAAGGGTTTGAACCCCGCAGTGTGCTAAACCCTAACTCTAAACCCTAAACCCTAGACACTAAACCCTAAACCCTAGAGCGTAAACATTGAACCTTAGTGACCATAGACCATAAATCCTAAACCCTAAGCCCTAAACCCTAAACCCAACACATCCTCGACTATAAGGCCCTAAGGTTCTGACTACTAGGCAAGGGCTTAGAAAAGATGAGCCTAGGGTTTAGGGTTTAGGGTTTAGGGTTTACGGGCCAGAAAAACTTTTATTTAATTCAATTTTTGCTGCATCCCCCCGTAAACCCTAAACCGCAAACATAGTAGATGGTTGCCTAGACCCTAAACCCTAAACCCTAAATTCTAGTTCAAAGGCGTGCAAAAACAGTAAGAAGCTCCTAGAGATGAGGACAGGGGACCGCTATCGAAACCCTAAACCCTAAACCCTAAACCCTAAACACTCGCTGTAAGGAAGCGACTAGAGCAGACAAAGATAAATAGCATCTGAAACCCTTCGCACTGAGTGCTAAAGTTTGAAGGTCGTCATGTATCATAAACCGTAAGCCGTAAACCCTAAACCCTAAACCCTAAACATCGCTCGCGTACCATATCAAGTCAACGGCTACGGTTTAAGGCGGATCGTATAAAACCCTTTAATTAAAAGCAAAGATCTTGAAATAAGGGGCTAAAATATGTTTGGTTTCGATGGTTTAGGGTATGGGGTAAGGGATTAGGGTTTAGGGTTTAGGGTTTAGGGTTTAGGGTTTAGGGTTTTCGATGGCGAGATGAGCGACCGCCTCCCGAGGGAGCGGCTCCCTGGGGCCCCGCAAGGGTTTTTATTTTTCTTTGTTTATGTTTTTTTCTTGTGAATATCTGTTTAGTTTGTGAGTTTTATGCATAAACCCTAAACCCTAAACCCTAAGTCCTCGATCCTGAGTTGCAAACCCTAAACCCTAAACCCCAATCTTGAGGCTCCTCCTGGCGGCTAACGCCGCTCGCAGGCGGTGCACATGAAGGCGAAGCCTCCTCTTCTTTGTTTCTTTTATTTGCTGCAAATCTTTATTTCTTCTTGCTTTTTAGTAGCTGCAGCAGCAGAAGCAGCTGCAGCAGCAGAAGCAGCAGCAGCAGCCCATGAGGGGGATGGCTCCGATATATCCCTGTCCCTAAGGACGGGGATAGAGAGGCTTAATACAGATTCAGATGCTTCAGTTGCCTCTGATGGTTTTCCTGCTGCAGCAGCAGCAGCAGGGGCTGCTCTTGGATCCCCAGTTGCAGCAGCAGCCCCTGCAGCAACAACTGCAGCAGCAGCAGCAGGAACAAGAGATCGAAGAACTAGCACACGAACTCGCAGCGGTCGTATTTCTCGTCGCCTGTCTCGCCGGGGTCGCAACCAGCAGCAGCAGAGACAACAGCAGCAGCAGCAACAGCAACAGCAGCAGCAGCAGCAGCAGCAGCGGGAGAGCGTGCGAGTTAAACGCAGCAGCAGCCATCGCGGTCAACGCCCTACAAGTGTAAGAGCTCGCTGGGGCACTCCGAGCAGTCGCAGCAGCAATGAGAAGTCTGTGCTGCTGAACGGTGTGAAGACGAAGAGAGGCAGCGGAGCAGCAGCAGCAGCAGCAGAAACAACTTTGCTGCTGTCAGCACCTACGAGCGCATATCCTTTAAGAGGGATCAAAACCCTTATCGGTGGTTTGACTATGTCTTTATTTATATTTATTTGGGCTGTGCTGCTAGGAAAAAGTGCAGCAGCAGCAGCAGGAGGGGCAGCAGCAGCAGCAACAAACCCTTTGCTGCATGCAGCAGCAAAAGTTACAAAGGGCTTCGATGCTTTCCTATCCAGAATAGCAGGGCTAACTTCACCTGTTAAAGATATAGCTATTCTTGTAATGTTTGCAGTAGCTGGTTCTATTACTCTTTTATCTTTATATGAAATAGGTTTATCTATAAGAAAGAGACTGCATGGAGGGTCTCCTTCAAGCGGCAGCCGCAGGGGCCTCCGTGCTGTGCTGCTGCTGCTGCTCGGCTTGCTGCTGTTGCTGCAGCACAGCCGAAATGCAGCAACTGCAGCGGAGCTTTCTGCTGCTGATATTTATCTCTTTGCTATAGGCATGGGTCTTTTCTTAGGGGGCAGCTTGCTGCTAATTTTAGGACAGCTGCAGCCTCCTAAGAGAACTCCAGAGGTGCTTGAGCTGACAGCACTTATAGGCCCGCAGCAGCAGCAGCAGCAGCTGCTGCAGCAGCAGCTGCAGCAACAGCTGCAGCAACAGTTCTTACCGCAACCACAGTTGCAGCAACAACTTCTACTTCAGCAGCAAGAGCTGCAGAAGCAACTACTCCTCCAGCAGCAACAGCTGCAACAACAGCTCCAGCAGCAGCAGCAGCAGCTCCAGCAGCAGCAACAACAGCAGCAGCAGCTCCAGCAGCAGCAGCAGCTACTGCAGCAGAAACAGGGTCACAGGCCGACTAGAACTAGGACCCATCGAGGCCAGCATAGACGCACCTAGGGCCGCACGCGAGACATCATTTTAAAGGCGTGCGGCTAGGGTTTAGGGTTTAGGGTTTACAGTTTAGGGTTTAGGGTTTAGGCCGAGGGTTTTTATTCTCTTTGCATGCCCGGGCCTACGCCTCACAACTTTTACCAACTCAAACGCCCATCACAAACGCGCTGTCAATTTTTCTCTTTAAATCGACTCCTATCTCTCTAGCTAGCTAGCTAGCTAGCTAGCTAGCTAGGTAGCTAGCTAGGTAGCTAGCTAGGTAGATAGCTAAACAGCCAGCTGGATAGAAAGCGAGTTATCCAGCGAAGGAGCCAGGCGGCACTGGCGCCGGTGTAGGGAGCTTAGGGCCGACAGATAGCTAGCGAGATAGCTAGCTAGCTAGCGAGATAGCTGGCTAGCTAGCGAGATAGCTAGCTAGCTAGCGAGTTATATAGGTATTGCAGGAGGCAAGTAGCTACGTAGCAGGGGCTTCCTCCTATGACTCCTTTAGGAGCTCCGGGGTGCGTAGAGAGGCTTGCACTAGGTAGCTAGCTAGTGCAAGCCTCTCTACTACATTGCTAGCTGCCAACCAGCTAGCTAGCTGCTAGCTAGCTATGTAGTTATCTTGCTGCTATTGCCCTCTTGGTTCTGCGTTACAACCCGCGAGGAGGCGAGGTCTCTTGTCTCTCGTTTAAAGAGAGACGGCAGCAGAAAAGAAAGGTAAAGTAAAGGGACAGGGCCTGGACATAGAAGATAAAAGCATTATAAAGCCTACAAATAAGCTATTAGGGTTTAGGGTTTAGGGTTTAGAGGTCTGGGGGCCTCGGCCCCCACCTGAAGCTGAAGTCTTCCAGGTACACCCCTAGCATTCGGGTTAAGGGCTTGGGGTTTAGCGAGTGGGGTTTTGATATGGGAAGCCCTAAACCCTAAACCCTAAACCCTAAACCCTTAACGCAGATGGAGACTTGCTAGATATATTTAAAGCTTATGTAAGGAGGTGCGTCGCGACTAGGGTTTAGGGTGTACACTTTGTTGTTGAGGGCTAGGGGTTGAGGGTTTATGGTCTAGGGTTAAGGGTTTATATGTCTCGTGGTTTAGGGTTTAGGGTTTAGGGTTTAGTGTTTCCAGTTCCAGTGAAGGCCTCCAAGGCGAAGGCGGCGGCGGGTCGTTTGAGGGTTTAGGGTTTAGTTTGAAAGGCACAGAGCGAATTATAACTTTGCAAAATAAAGAAATAGTTTATTTAATTAAATAAAAGAAGAAAAAGAGATAATAATAAATATAAACAGTACCGCCGCTCAGCAGACACCTGAAGGACCCCCCGGCGCGGCGAGCCTCTCGTTCCTCGTGCAAGAGGCAGCAGCGTTTGTAGTTTTTTCTCGTCTTTTTGTGATGCTTCTGCTATTAATTGTTTATATTTTGACTAAATATACTCATTGCGATTCAGAAAAGTACCAATAAGGTACCCTTAACTCTTCTCTTACCCCTCCAACAGCTCTTCCTGCTTCTCAGGTGTATATACACCGTAAACCTTAGACTAGTAGGGAAGGAGTCAATTCTTTTTTAGTTTTTTTTCAGAACTTTCAACGAATATTATGTTAGAAACTCATCTTCTTCTTTCTGAGATGCGCCGCGCCAGTTACCTTCAACCCGATGCGTAAACCCTAAACGCTAAACCCTAATCCCTTAGACCCTAAACCCTAAATCTATCCTTGAAATATACTGCCGCCGTCTGCCTATGCACAAGACTAGCTCCTTAGCCCCGATAAGGTACTCTGGAGCGTTCGTCGCCCCCAGACCCTCCTTCTTAATCCCCAAACCCTAAACCCTAAACCCTAAACCCTCCTGCGGAAAATGGAGCGAAACCAAAGCCGCCAAAGACAAAGGAGGGCTACGCACGCGGGGTCGTGGTATGATGCTGACTGTGAGGCCCAAACCCTAAACCCTAAACCCTAAACCCTAAACCCTAGTTTCAAAAGAAGCTTGCAGCTCATTGCGAAGCTGTGCAACCTGTGTTTAGGGTGTAGGGTTTAGGGTTTAGGGTTTAGGGTTTAGGGTTTGCTTACAGACAAAAACTTGTCTGGGCAGATTCGGCGATGGCTAGAGCGCTCCAGCAAAGTCTGCGACGGACGCATAAAGGCTCTAATCTGCCCGTAGGAAGGGATTAGGGTTTAGGGCTTAGGGTTTAGGGTTTGGGGTTTAGGCCTCAAGTGCACTCAGAAAAGGCTGCACAAAGGCATTCCCATATCTGTAGGCATGCGCTCCTTTTGAACCGTAAGCGACTAGGGGTTTAGGGTTTAGGGTTTAGGGTTTAGTGTTTAGGGTTTTGTTTGTCTTCATCAGGCATGCAGGCTTGCGCTTTTCAGGCTCGACAGCTGCTTGTGCCTGGAAACAAGTGGACCCTTCGGCTTTGTAAACCCTAAACCCTAAACCCTAAACCCTTAGCCCCTATGAAAACGGCTTAGCACAGAAGGAGTGGTTATATTCTCTTCTCGTTGGCCGCTGCTTTTAGGGTTTAGGGTTTAGAGTTTGTAGGCGCGGGTTAGATAGCGACGCTGCTGGCGTTAAAGTTTAGGGTTTAGGGTCTAGGGTTTAGGGTTTGTGGTTGCAGCCAGCGGGTCTTTTTGCTGGGTCCCTCTCACTATAAGTATTTTAAAGGGGTGGCGCTGCCCTCTGAGAGTTGCGGGGTTTATTTGACTCCTTTGGGGGACTTGCCGCTGGACACAGACAGTGAGGGTTTAGGGTTTAGGGTTTAGGGTTTAGGGTTTAGAGACGGCAGATTGGGGTGTACGCGCAGCTCTGCAGCGGATTGGGATTTTATCGCGCGGTTTAGGGTTTAGGGTTTAGGGTTTAGAGATGGGAGGCTGGGGTGTACGCGCATCTCTTTAGGCCCTGTGTCTGCCTGTAGCTGATCGTCTCTTGCTTACAGTTTAGGGGTTAGGGTTTAGGGTTTAGGGGTTGCAGCTTGGGGTGTACGCGCAGCTCTGCAGGCCCTACGGCTTACTGGTGCTTTTTGTGAGGCGTCCATTTCAGAAGATGAAGAAGAGCACAGCATTGAGCTGATGCTGCCCTTCGTACGGCACACCTTTTCGGAGTAAGCGAGGGTTTAGGGTTTAGGGTTTAGGGTTTAGGGCGGCGGTGTGGGAAAGGCGTCTTTTCCAGCCGCAATTTGCGTCTAAAGTTTAGGGTTTAGGGTTTAGGGTTTAGGGTTTACGCTTTCAAGCTTCAGGGTTAAGGTGGATCTCCACAGCAAAGCTTTCGAGCCACGAAATATCAGGCAATTAGGGTTTAGGGTTTAGGGTTTAGGGTTTGTGGTTGCAGGGGCGTGAAGATTGTGCCGATGATTGTTGGTGATTTGAAGAGTTTAGAGGACTGCCAGAAATATGCGGATTTGTTAATCAACTATTTCCTTCAAGATGTAAGGGTTTAGGGTTTAGGGTTTAGGGTTTTGGATTTAGGGTTTAGGGTTTAGGGTTTAGGGTTTGAGGTGCTTTGCTTGTTCAGGAAAACCTCTTCATAGTATCCTCGGACTTCTGCCATTGGGGACCTCGGTGAGCTGGACTTCGGCATGTCCCTAGGGTTTAGGGTTTAGGGTTTAGGGTTTAGGGTTTAGGGTTTGGAGATGCGCCCGTGTTTGGTGTTTCAGATATTCTTACTTTTACTTGGAGGACCCTCAGCCCGGTGTCCCTATTCACGCGGCCATAGAGGTCTCTGCAACCCCTAAACCCTAAACCCTAAACCCTAAACCCTTCTTTGAATTACAAGAGGCCTTGATGGAGGCGGCTTGATGAGGAACGGAGACAGAGAAAGAGACAGAAGAAGAGACAGAGACAGAAGAAGAGACAGAAGAAGAGACAGAGACAGAGACAGAGACAGAGACAGAGACAGAGACAGACAGAGACAGAGACAGAGACAGAGACGGAGACAGAGACAGAGACAGACAAAGAGAGACAGAAGGAGACAGAGAGATAAAGACGTAAATAAAGAGACAAACAAAACACTTAAAACAAGTTTTGCGTTTATTTATTTTGTTCGTCTTCGCTGCAGAAGATGGACAGAAAAGCCGTCAAATTTATCACTGAGCACCAAGGCCAAGGTCAACCTAAACCCTAAACCCTAAACCCTAAACCCTAAACCCTAAACCCTAAACCCTAAACCCTCCACACCAAAACCTTAAACCCCACAGCGCGTTGGCCCGTACAGGCAGAGCTAAACTTTAGGCCTTAGGGCTATATGCTGGTTAGGGCTTAGGGTTTAGGGTTTAGGGTTTAGGGTTTAGGGTTTAGGGGGTTGCGACTCAGGTTTCTATGACTATCTGGAGTCTACGGGTCTTTCAGTTTGTGGCCGGCACCCCATAAGCCTATTCTTGCTTGTATGCTTAAACCCTAAACCCTAAACCCTAAACCCTAGACATCACAAAGCACTCTTACATCAATTGAGGAAGCAACCAGAGAGAGAGGGAGAGACCCAGGACTTTCGCCCGTTTGTTGCAGCTTTCTTTGCTGCTTCTGCTTGCTGCTGCTGCTGCTGCTGCTGCTGCTGCTGCTGCTGCTGCTGCGCAGCTAGTGGAAACAGCAGCTGCAAGGAATGGGGCGAAGTTCTCAACTCAGCTGATCGCGTACTCGCAGGTATATAACTGAGGCCGAGGGTTTAGGGTTTAACGGTTAGGGTTTAGGGTTTAGGGTTTAAGGAGCAGGGTTTAGGGTTTAGCGTTTTTTAAGGTTTATGGTTATGGGTTTGCATTGCGTGCACTAGGGTTTAGAGTTTAGGCTCAAGGGTTGGCATTGTGTACAGTAGGGTTTATTAGGGTTTAGGGTTTAGGGTTTAGTGTTTAGGGTTTAGGGTTTGGGGTTGACTTTGTGTGCAGTCAAGCCAAGCGCTGTCTCGGAACGACTCCTCCGTGTCTTATGCCGCTCTTTGCACCACAAGGGTTTAGGGTTTAGGGTTTAGGGTTTAGGGCTTTTGCGGTTTTCTATAGACATCCATCGAAAGGTATCGCGCCAAACCAATACAAGCGCGATTGTTAGGGTTTAGGGTTTAGGGTTTAGGGTTTAGGGTTTGGGGGTTTAGCTTTGTTTTAAGTTGCGGGGTCTGTTAGGGTTTATTGCCTCCAGATGCAGATTTGTTTATCTTCAAAGGACAAAACGCCGCAAGAAAAATAATAAAAGAAAAACGGAGACAAATAAAAACGCTGGAGACAGTCTCCTTCTGACCCCACATGCTTGCTCTATATATCTATATATAAATAAATATATATATATATGTATATATATATGTAAATATATATATATGTATATATATATGTAAATATATATATATATATATATATATATATATATA